ATTATTATTATTATTATTATTATTATTATTATTATTATTATTATTATTATTGTTGTTGTTGTTGTTGTTGTTGTTGTTATTATTATTATTATTATTATTATTATTATTATTATTATTTTGAATTATCTCTTCAAATATAGTAAAAGACAACCAATAGTTTGCCAGGTAACTATAAAATACTAAGCTGCATTAGTGAACCTGGCAAGTGGACCTATAAAGCTGGCACATATGGAGACAGATTAGTCACATAGAGAATGCATTATTACAGGGATCTGAGCCAGTCAATCAAATACTTGATTGCCTTGTCCAATGGCAGTCAACCAGCCCCTGGTGCCTGAGAGAAACCATATGCTCCAAATGCATTCAATCTAGTTCATACAGCGATTTATTGTTCGGCTGAAGTGCTTGGAGCGTTAATGGATAAGGACAATAGCAACGTAAATAAAGCTGACAGAAATAGTTTGATGAAAGCTTTTTTGAGATGTATATATATCTATGTAAATCTGTTTGTGAAATGGGTCATCGTGATTCTGATGCAGTTGTGTTTTGTTTAAGCTTTATCTGGTTATTGAAATTCAATGGGTCAGTCAGTCCACATAAACACTGAGTGAAAACCACATTAAACGTGGGTGTGAGTTTAAAGAGTACAATGCTACAACAAAGACAGAAGTATGGAATCCAGTGACAAAAAATTCTATTTACTCTATAAAGCAGAATATGTCATGATATTTGGTCAATTTTGAAAGAATAAATCAAAGGTACACATCAAACTAGACCAGTGTATTTGATTATAAATATAGTCACAACAGATATAGACAAAGACTCATACACATTCATCAATAATGTTTGTTTAGCTATTTTGATCTAAAAAGTACATAAATACTAATATAATAATGCTAAATATTTAACAAAATGATTTCATTGACAAAAGTGGTTCTTGAGGGATTTTGTTCAGAATGATCAGGTCTGTCATTTAATATGAATATGATTTGTTTGCATAAAAATGTTTTTTAAAAAAGTCCTGAAATCACAAAAAAAAGTGTTTCATTCAGCTTGAGTAAGGGATTCCCAATATACATGACACTTCACTTCAGTCTGCTATACAAGCAGTGTAACAGTTATGAGTGATTTCATGCCTTTCATCACTTTAGCACCACTGTCAAGCTGAGCAGGGTAAGTCTCTTTTGCTACATTTACACTGTGGAGCTTAGTGATCAAATCAAATCAGATCAAATCAGATTTTTTTTATCAGATTATATATATTTTTTGCAAATTTGCTTTAAACTTGTTATTTTGTTTGCTGCCTATATGCTTGGGATTATCTGTGCACCTGTTTGTTCCTGTTTCAACCTTTAATTACAGCATGATTCTGTTAATACACTGCTATTTGATCCTCAACTTTGTTGTGCAGGCGTCCTCACATGACACTAACCTTGTTTTTGTTGTGAAATGAAGACCCAATTTATTATTTGTAAAAAAGAAATAAAAAAATAGATATATAGCAGTCCTGTATTTTTTTTAAGAAAATTGCTTTGGAGTTTAACTTACATATCCTAAAAATGTTTATTAAACTATATTATAGTTTATAGTTATATTTACAGTGTTTTATGACAACAGTAATTATTTGTACCTAAGCTTTTTTTCAAGAATTTTTTAAAAGTTTTTTTTTTTTTTTCCAGGTATTAAAGGTATGAGATTTCATTCATTATTGCATAAATGAATCTGTATAATTACATTAATAAACTGCATAATTACAGTAATTATCCTTATAATCACATTAATTCATCTGTATAATTACATTAATAAATTATATATTTACAGTAATAATTTGTAAAATGGCAGAAATAATCTGTGCAATTGTAGGAATAATTAGTAAAATGGCAGTAATAACCTGTACAATTACAGTTAAAATCTGTAAAATTACCGTAATAACTTGTAATTATGGAACAAGAAATAACTGTTTTTTTTTTTTTTTTTTTTACAGATTATCAATTTTTATTATTCTGACAGCTCTTTTTTTTATTTTTTTATTTTTTTTAAGGAAAGGCGCCCCTGCATGCTGCCATAAAATTACCGTTTTTATGGGGTTGTTTTTTTTTTTTTTTACAGTGTGGGAACTACCCATACTGTACATAGTCATTCATGCACACACTCATACATCAATCCAATTGCCTTACGTATGTCTTTGGACTGTGGGGGAAACCAGAGCACCCGGAGGAACACAAACATGGGGAGAACCATATCTGAGTCACAACTGGGTAAAAGAAATTGGGATTTGGGCCAAATTTGCCTGCACTCTGACTGTAGCCTGTGACATTGTACATGAGATGTGTGCTAGCATCTCTCAAAGTTTAAGTTGAATGCATGACCTACAGTTTGATCTGCCTGATCAGTTTAAGGACAGCACAATGATCCTAACAATTACAATAGGGCTTGACTAAACCCCCTAAGTATAACGACTCGCACCTGGCTACTTTAATAATGCCATAAACTTGATCAC